ATGGCATTACGTCTGTTCTGAACAGAACCCAGCAGATGTTGCCACTAGGTTTGTGGCAGCAGACCACTTATCCCTTACCAACTGGTTCTCAGGTCCAGGATTCATTGAGGAATGTGGCCCTATAGCGTGTAGTGTAGAAGGGGCGTATGGGCTTGTCAAAGCAGAAGAGGATGTTGAAATTCGCTCTCAAGTGAACACGATGGCAACTAACATCACAGAGCAGTCACTAGGCTCAAGCAGATTTGAACGTTTCTCAAGCTGGAGATCCTTGGTGAGGGCTGTCACTACACTTACTCACATCGCAAAATCGTTCTCACAATCTCTATCTAACAATATTTGCCGAAAATGGCATCAATGTACCGGAACCTTAGATGTGGAGACATCACAGGCTAAGTCAACTATAATCAAAACTGTACAGCGAGAAGTGTACAGAGAGGAATTTGAAAGCTTGATAAGGTATAATAAAGTCTCTGAGCGTAGCAAACTCCAGAGACTTGACCCCTTTGTGGACGAGAAAGGTCTGTTAAGAGTTGGGGGTCGCATTCACTGTGCTGACATCTCAGATCCAGAGAAGCATCCTTTGATAGTTCCACCCAACCATCACGTGGTTGATCTTTTAATTCAGCATTACCACGATCAAGTGGCTCATCAAGGCCGTCATTTTACAGAGGGTGCGATACGCAGTGCTGGATTGTGGATCGTCGGTGGCAAAAGACTTATCTCAAATGTCATTCACAAATGTGTGTTATGCAGGAAGCTGAGAGGTAGAATGGAGAGTCAAAAGATGTCTGCTTTGCCCTCAGACAGAGTTTCTGTTGATCCACCTTTTACACACACTGGCCTTGATGTTTTCGGTCCATTCACTGTGGTGATACGCAAGACAAGAGGTCACAGCACTGAGAACAAGCGATGGGCTGTCTTATTCAGTTGCTTGAGTACCAGGGCAGTTCATTTGGAAGTCATAGAGTCCCTATCAGCGTCAAGTTTCATTTGTGCTTTGCGACGCTTCTTGGCTATCAGAGGACCAGTAAAACATTTTCGTTCAGACAGAGGGACGAATTTTGTAGGAGCAGCGAATGAACTACAAATTGAGAGTAGCAACTCAGAGTTGAAAGGTTTCTTGCAAAATCAGGGCTGCACTTGGACATTTAATGCTCCGCACTCCTCCCACATGGGAGGAGTGTGGGAAAGGATGATTGGGATAGCCAGACGTATTCTGGAAGCTCTCTTGATGAAAACTCCCACAAGACTCACGCATGAGGTCTTAACAACGTTAATGGCTGAAGTCGTGGCCATTATGAATTCCCGACCCTTAACCTCAATTTCGACAGATGCAGGGATGCCTCAAGTGCTCTCACCAGCGATGCTCTTAACTCAGAAGGCTAGTGTTGCTCCAGCACCTCCAGGAAACTTTGAGTTAGGTCACCTACACAAAAATCAATGGCGTCAGGTCCAGATGTTGGCGGATTCATTCTGGAAGCGATGGAAGCAGGAGTACTTGTCGACCTTACAACCCAGAAGGAAATGGACAGAAGAGAGGAATAGTATTCAGGAAGGGGACATTGTCTTGTTGAAAGATGGGGAAGCTAAGCGCAGTGAGTGGCCAGTTGGTCTCATAACAAAGACTGTAGTCTCATCTGATGGAAAAATTCGTAAGGTTATGGTGAAGACTGCTAAGCAGGGAACTGTCAGAGAATACCTAAGACCTATATGTGACACAGTCTTACTTTTGTCAAGTAATCAGAATGCATAGTGGTATAACCCAAGTTATACCAGGTGGGGAGTGTTCTGTGTAGTGTTAGTTTTTCTTAGTAAGAAGATTGTGTGTGTGACACCTAGTGGGGAAAAATGGTATTACACTGCCCAACTGAGCACAACAGGAAGCGCGTAAAGCAATAGAAGAAGAGACTCGTTCTGTGATCTGTGTTTTGGATGCACGTCATTGTTTGCTGTCTAATCCTTGGAGTAGATACGATCGTAAGTTATAAATTTATATTGAAAACAACTGTAATAATGTTGTGTTAGTTTAAGTAAAGTAAAGTGTGCATCACATAAGCACAAAGAAGAACGTGTGATGGAGCTTTATTTCTGTTAGCTATCTGTCAACGCTCGGTCCAAAACACCATTGCCAGGACAGAATAGTGGGTGTGCTCAGACATAACCCTAGTTCGCAAAGGAGCAGTGTTTGCAGTGCCAACACATGTCAGTTTATGAATTATAACAGCAACAGACCCAGTTTCAGCAGCAGATACTGCAGATATGAGGTGCGTGTGAAACAGGCTTCAGCCGTCAACAGCATTTACAGAACAACCTTTATCCTCGAATTAATATAAAGACCTCCTAGCTGCCAGCGCCAATAACTTGACAGGCCTGCAAGTGGATTAGGCTGGTAGGTTGATAATCTGGGTTAGGAACCGGACACAGGAAGGGTTCAACTCTTACGTGACACTGTCTTGTTGCCTGACACTTTTAACACATGCGATTTGCATACAGATGAAGTGTGGTCCTCTCATAGGAGACAGAGGTGTTCGGCTGGAAGTTATGCTTTGAGTCAGTAAGGTTACCATGTTCTGCTCTTTTTCCGTGTTCAACTTTTAGTGTGTAATGTTGCTGTTTGAGGATGAAAACAGCATGAGTGCTGGTCTTCTGTATATCCCTGAACTCCCTGAAACGCCTCCATTGCTCCAGACTAACACTTGAGAGCCGGAGCTGGGGGATTTTTACTCATTGTTAATTTAATCATAAAATGACTATTGTTTTGCATTAATGTGCAGTTACCAATAATATTGCATGTCTGTTAATTGGACATTTAACAGTAAAGCACTGAGCTTGAAATGAGATTAAATTAAATTAACGTATATTAACTACAGTAACGTGTAAAAACATTTTTTTCTTTTTTTACAGGGAAAAGTTAAATATTCTACTCTAATTAAATGTACCATTGATCTTCTATAGTATCATACTGAACTGGGGTGCGTAACTCGCTGCTTCTCTACCATAGTGCGATGCATCGTTGAAGAAATCAACTACTACCGAAACCGTATTGTCGCAAAGTGGTCGTTCAGCCACGTTTGTTAATGACGTCACGCACGTGGTGGATAATAACTACGTTTAATGAAACTGATTGAGATCGAATTAACGCTAGATGTTTTGCTACAAATTACGGACATGGCATCTGAGGACTATTCCTCATTATTTTCAGTTATTTTGCTTTATTGCCAGATTCAATCATAGGCTCGTTCTTACGTACTAGAGCACTAGTCTTCAAAAACGGCGCTTTAAATCCCTTGACAAACTCAAAGATGTAAATGACATTTGTATGTATTCTAAATAAAAGAGATAAGTAATGTCAGTTTGCTTATTTTGCTCAAGATACGGATTTATTGAGTCCAGATGTCATCCAAACAAGAAACTCTGCTTCTAAGCACAGCTCGAGAGCTGTCGTTCCAAACACACAACTTTGCGAAGCTGTCTGCGAATGTTCGTTGGAACGATGTTTTTGGGAAACACCGACTCTTTGAACTACGCTGATAACTACGCAACTTGCGACCATAGTTGGCTAACGATGCTTTCGGGAAACGCACTTCTGACCGACAGCTTTAGTGATTATAAAATGAGCGCTCTTCACTTGCTTTGTGCAATTTAGTCACAATTTGAAGAAAAGGTTTAGTTTTTTTTTTTGTGACTTCCTAATTTTTTTTCATATATTAGGGAGTGGAAATGGCTAACAAGTCAATTAAGTGCTCCTCTACTGGTTATAGCGGTAATTTCATGTCTTTTTAAATGCGTGTTTGTATGCCATGAAGTGCTAGTTTTCCTACATCTTTAAACTTTTTACAGTTTTACAAATCACATTAAAAATCACATTAATATGAAAATGTGAAGCACTTGAAAGCCATTGAAAGGTGCTTGAATTTCACTCTCAAAAGGTTGCATGAACCCTGAGATGAATAATGTAAAAAAAATATTAGACTATTTCTGACACAATACCATACAGTTAGCGTTACTACATAAAATATATGGTGATTTGTGAATTGAATAACTTGTTCGTTCATGGCACAATGGTTTCCACATCAGCTCGGTTTGATCTGAAATGGTTTATAACAGAGCCGAATTTGAACGCTTCCCACTTGATCTCGCAGTGACGTTATTAATACTGTGGCAAATTCAAATGCTTTCTCATTGGTTCTCCCAGTGCTGTGTAGTAACATGTCATGTGATCGAGATCATCCCGCGAGTAAACCTTATCTGAGCTCGCACTGTGCTGTCAATTATTTCTCAGAGACTATGAACGGTGGTGGTAGTGGCGCCAGTGTGACCGATACATTTTTTTTACTTGCAACGGCAGGAAAAAAGGTCGCACAATGCGGCCATTTGGTAGCAGTCTGGAGTTTCCTTCCGGGAACGAACATGTCACAATATCCCTCATTTAAATAATTCCCGCCCAAGGCATACGCAAAATAAAGGGGCGGGGCCTGGTTGAGTGAGTTAGTTAATAGTGTTAAAACTCATGGTTATGGTAAGGGGCGGGACATTTCCCAAACAGGCCAATCACAACACACTGATCCAGCTGACCAATCAGAGCACAGTGTTTTCAGAAGGAGGGGCTTCATAGAGACGGGAACTAAACAGAGCTTTACTGACAGTCCGGGAAGAGAGGAGCTGCAACAATGGAGGATATAGGACAAATAATGTGTTTTTTAACAGAAATGTTTCTTGAGCATCAAATCATCCGATCAGAGTGATTTCTGAAGGATCATGTGACACTGAAGACTGGAGTAATGATGCTGAAAATTCAGCTTTGATCACAGGAATTAATTACATTTTAACATATATTAAAATAGAAAACAGTTCTTTTAATAATATTTCACAATATAGCTGTGTTTTTGTTCAGTTAAAAATTTTTTTTTTAAATCCTCTAGAGTAAAAGGAGCATCACCCACTGTTAGTTTTCTCCTCTTATGGTCATTGATTGTTAAATGTGCCGTCCTCTCCTTCAGATGTTGCCGCCGCTTTAGTGGCAGACGAGGCCGAGGCCGGTGACAAGAGGACCGCCAAGTTTGAGAAGAGAATGACCAATGAAGAGATGGAAGAGGAGCAAAGGTCAGTATTCCCCTTCTCCCTCAATCCATCCACAGAAACATCAGCAACACAGCAGCAAAACCTACATCTCACTCTTTTGTACTTCATATACATCTAGAAATGCTTGAATCGAACAGCATTTGAAGTGTGTAGTGTGTATGTGAAGTATGCAGAGTGACACTTTTTAGTCAGAATGACTCGGCAGTGTGTTGAATTTTCCGGGTGTTAATGAATATGCAACTGACGTGTGCATATTTAGAGGACTGCAGTAAAGGACTTGTGTCCGGTTTCATCACCTGAGTTTGAGGGACGATATTTTCCCATTTAACAAATGCAGTCTACCCTGAAGAAGTGTGTGTTGTTTCTTCTTACGACCTAGACCAAAGGTTTTCAAACCACGTCAGCACAGGTCTATTATAATGATGAAGTAAAAACAAAAAGTCAAAACTATAAATTAAGTTATATCCACAAAACACAGAATATTAATAATATATCAGATCTTGGCCACAGCTCTGCTTCTGTGAAGTCATACTACTACTAATAATAAATTATTATTATTATTAATGGTAATAATAGTAGGTATTATTATTATTATTATTATTATTATGAATGGTGGTAATAATAATAATGGTATTTTTATTATTTATTTATATATAGTTATTGCAGTTTTTTAGTATAATAGTTGCTATTGTTATTAATGGTGGTAATAATAATAATAATAATAGTTGTTATTATTATTATTATTATTATTATTATTAATGGTAATAATAATAACAGTTATTATTGTAGTATTGTTATTATTAAAGGTAGTAATAATAATAATAGGTGTTGTTAGTTTTTGTATTATTATTATTATTATTATTAATAATGATAATAAAAGTAGCTATTATTATTATTTGTATTATTGTTATTGCAATTATTATTAGTTATTGTTTACAATAATGTCTGTTAGGATAACCATTAGTTAATGTTAGCTAATACAAACTAACAATGAGCAATATATGTGTTAATCAGTGTTTATTAATATTCTTCGCTAATGTTAATTCATAAAAGTTCTGTTCCTTGTTGGTTCATGTTAGCTCAGGTCCATTAAGTAATATACTATGGTCTGTCTGAATACTTGATTCTGATTGGCTGGAAGGTGTGCATTAAAACTGTTTAACGCACGGGTAATTCCAGTCAGTTTAATCACATTTTATATTAATGCGCTGCTTTCACACACACACACACACACACACACCCACACGCACACACACGCACACACACGTCAATTATGTGTATGTACATTTAATAATATTTTAGTAATTGTTGAGATTATGATTGTGTAAGAAGATGAAATGCTTTATAACTGTTTTTCATTGTTAGTTCATAACTAATGTTATCAAATGGAACATTACCATTATTATTATTATTAACCCTGCGTTGAATGTGCTAGTTTAGTCCATGTCCAGTACAGATCTGTCGTGAGAGGAAAGTTCTTGTTCCCCCCTCCTTTGGGCCCTGTGTACCTCCTCCAGCCACCCCACTGCTCACTGTGTGCGTGTGTGTGTGTGTGTGTGGATAAGGAGGCGGAGATGTCACACACACACGTTAAGCGCTCACATTATCTGCGGCAGACTCTCAGGGTTTGCTGGAGGCTCAGGCTCGCTCTGTCTGCGCTGGGTGCGGTTTGTTTACCTGATAAAACATGCAGATTGAGCGGTGGAGGATCTGACCTAAAAAAAAGCAGATATGTGAATGTAGATTGTCATGCAACACCAAAACATTTTGAGCAAGTTCTGTCTAATTTAAAATGGACTTTTAAATCTAGTATTTGTTGTAGCCATAATTAGCTTAGCCGCATGCTAACTGCCCAACTTGAAGGTTTCCTTTTCAGTTGTTCTCAGACAGCAGATGCTAATGTCAGCGTCAGAACTTGTCATAAATGTGCATGTAAATTTGAGATGATTTCAACGATTCCCTTTTGCAGAAGTCACTAGTGTGTGCATCTGTGTGGCTGTAGGAACGGTGTGTACATAGGCTAATATCCTCTGCTCCTGCCCTTTATCTTTGCAGGATAGAGTTGACAAATGACTTTACCGCTCTTTAAACAGCACCAGGCAGTATGCCTGTGTCAGACCTCCGGTAAGGTATCATTTACTTCAGTTTGACCCCCTGACACCCCCACAGTCTCACCTCCCCCGTCCCGTCCCGTCACCTTGTGCTGCTGACTCTCAGGGTGTAACACCAATATCTTCCCCTCCACTCACTTTCCCTACTCAGTGACCTCAATGCCACTGACAACTCGTGTCCTGACATGTGCTGGGTTACAGTTATTTACATTTTTATTTCAGGATTCTTTTGATTTGATGAACAGAAAGCTCAAAAGAGCATCATTTATCTGAAATGGAAAGCTTTTGTAATGGAAAGCGTTCAAAAGTTTGGGGGTCAGTAAGAATTTTTATTTTATTTCTTGGGGCAAATAAATAAAAGAAATCAATACTTTTATTCATCAAGGATGAATTAAATTGATCAAGAGTTACAGTAAAGACATTTAAGATTCTGTTTAAAATAAACGCTGTTCTTTTGAACTTTCAATTCATCAAAGAATCCTGAAAAATGAATTTGTACACAACTGTTTTCAGCATTTATAATAATAATTAATGTTTTTTGAGCACCAAATCCACATCACCTGTGACACTGAAGACTGGAGTAATGATGCTGAAAATTCAGCTTTGATCACAGGAATAAATGACACTTCTCTATATATTCACATAGAGAACAGTTATTTTAAATTGTCATAAACTTATTTTAAACTTACTTTTTTTTTTGTTGGTATTTTAATCAAATAAATGCAGCCTTGTTGAGCAGAAGAGACTTCTTTTCAAACATTAAAAATCTTACCGATCCAAAACGTTCGACTGGTTGTGTATATTAAAAGAGTGTATTAATAATCATGCAGTGGCCTGAAAGTGTATTTGCACACTTAAAAATGTCTGACATGTCATCGTTGCATTATCAGGGCAAGTGTCTGTTCAAAAGAATGATTTTGAAGCATTAGTTGATCATGTTTATAGTTAATGTGATTCTGGACACCTGTGTGAACCCGAGGAGAACTGACTTCATAGGTCATACATCCACTAAAAGTCACCAGAACGCCTGCTGGTTCATAGACACTGAACACAAATGATGAAGACGAGGGACGTTAGTGGCATTTGAGCGCATGTTTTGCTATTTTATCATCAAGATGATGCAGTGACTTGCAGGCATAAATGTATATGTAGCTCTTGGGTGTCCAAATATATATTTTTTTGCATTACCTTACATGTACTTCCATCCAATACAAAAAAGAGTTACCGTAAATAAAAGGTCATGCAGTGAATTGTACATATCAGGGTGAGGCAAAATTCACATTTTAAGAATCGTCCCCATTTTAATTCATGAGAGTCGAATTCGACACTTAGTTTCAACACTTTTACATAACTTGACTTTTTATTCCCCTGATATGTAGAATATTTTCCCCTAGTGATTAGACACACTTATATAAATGAAGTTCAGTACTGTCAAAATAATAAACAGCCATCAACATTTTGTCAAACAGTACCATATGACATCCATTTTCCAGTGATTTAACCATTAGCCATGTTTCACATGATATACATATCATGTGAAATCAATCACATAAACAATGCTGGATGGAAATGCCAAGAATCCAAACACTAAAAATGCGCTCATTTGAGGCGGATACATTTATCCGGGAAGAAGGCATTTATCCAACTATGATGGAAACACATTTACTGAATAAATTCCTCGATGTACAAAAAAAAAAAAAAAACTCACGTGACTTTTTCCTCAACAGAGGATGTGATTGGATAACTGGAGTAACCAACAGACCAATCACATCACGGCATCTCAAATGTGTGTTTGATCATTCTGAAATGCTTGAGCCAAAGTTTATTTCCTCACACGATTACATTCCCAAACGCCATGACAGCGTTTGATGGAGGAAAAATCCATGATCCATTTTTGTTACAGATATTTTGAGGCAATTTCCCAGGAAGCGTCGGTTTTGTCCTCTTGAACTCATGGTATGGAAAAGCTGCTTTGTTCAGAAATGTTTTACGCGATATTCCAATTTTCTGAACTTTGACTAGAAACATAGATAGTGATTTGTGTATTTAGTTTAATTGCTTTCGTTAGGATTGCTGGTAACATAACACCACCATTCAAATTTGAGCTGAGAACATGTTTGTGGGCATTTCACCCTGAAAAATGACCGTATTAATAAAACCTATTGAATTTTAATTCCACGTCCTTACATTTAAATTAGTTTTGTATACAGTTTTGTACACAATTGTATACAACCTATATTCATATTCTTAATCTGACGCTCATCATTTCTAAATAATGCCCGACCCCGGCGGTACACAGAGATCAACTCAACACATTTCTATAATGCATTATTATAGGTATATTTAGAAGAGATTTACTGTACCGTGAACAAACAACAGAATATATTATTCAAAGTAGGGAGGCGTGAAGTGCTGTTTAATGAAGTTAAATGATACTAGGTTTTCTGACTGTCTGCGTTTCTTTGCATGCGTTTTTGCACCATTCTTGTGCTCGGCATGGGAAACAATGGCACATTCACAAAATATAAAAGGGATCATATCATAAATTATTATTATCATATCAAATTTTTCATCCAGCCTCTCTCTGCTCCTTTGAAATGAACAGTGTGTTTCTGAATCCCCTAGGCGTGTGTCATTGATGTGTAAATGCGGCGGGCAGTCATGTGTTGATGCACACACTGTGTACAGTTTCTCATTGGACGCCAGGCTCCTTTATCTCAAAAGATCAAGGGAGAATTGATTCCCCGTGACATGTCGCCGTTGTGGGTCACGGCATGCTTCAAATAATTTGGATTTGCCGTAATCGACTAAATCTGATTGCATGAAAACCAATGTGTTTGCTATAGACACTTTACTAACATGACTACAAGCGTGTCTCCTGAATGTTTCCACCGCCTCCGACCGCTGCTCGACTAACACGCTCGGCCAAGCCTTAACCAGTAACATCACAGCACCAGAGCTGCCAACGGTGAGTCATCGATTCATCTCTCATAACTCAGTCTTTATGATTTTCACTGAAATCAATGGCTCGTCACAGACTCGGTAGAGCTGCACTATGTAACTTTTGGCACTCTAGCGGTTAACAAAACTGCCTGTATTTTGTGGAAGAACATTGTTCTGGATGTGCTTTGTCTATGCGGATGAATATGTTTTATGAGCAGTGGATTAACCATTCACCTCTAGGCTTAAGAGATATAACCGGTTTAGATGGAAAGGATCTCAAGCTGACTGGCTGAAGACGTTACTGTAGCTTTACCCTTTAATGGACACGCACTTCCCTTTAATTAAGTTCCAACACAGCGCTACAACAATTATACTGAAATGACCCTTCACAATAATGCTTTACGATGAAGAGAGCTGCATATGCCAGTTTATCTGTTCAATAAAATACCTTACTCCTGTTGAGTGATAAACACCATCATCCCTGCGTCGCTTTTACAACATTTTAAACCCCTCAGTTTTCGCCATCTCCGAAGCCAAGCCAATGTTGATTCTTGTTTTATTACGAGCTCAGTTTCGATCTCTGTTTGCCAGCAGACGCTCCTCTGTTTGGCATTTGTTTAACCCACTGGTGTTCTTTTTTTTTTTTTACTGAAAATTTTACGTGTATTTTTATTTATTTTTACTTCATCGGAATGGTACGAATCTTAGTAAAGGTTTTGGCTCTTGCTATGTTTACACTCAAATAATTATGGACATGATACGAAAAGGGTAAATTGTCCTGAAAGAAATAGTCACACTTGTGCTCCTCACGGTCAAAATGAGACATTGGAAATGAATGGTTTACGAATTTCATCTAGTGGAGACGTGTGGTACTGCGGCCAAACTAAATCTGACTGAAAGCTCATTTATTGAGATATCAAATTTACTCAAATTTGGAACACACCTTGTTTATCTTTATAGATTTGTTTTTCTTGCCGTTTTAGAGTAAAACGTGTTTTTGAAAATAGTATTTCTTTGCATTTTTCATAACGAGAAACCTTTTTTTTTTCACTTTTTAAAACATTTTTCACATTTTCATTTTTCAAGTGTCGTCTTTAGTCTGCGCTCCAAAGCATTCATTTATCACAGTTTAAGTTGGAAATTAAATATTTATGTCTATGCTCAAAAAGTGAATAAATGGATTATAAATACAGCGTAAATATAATTTAGTACCATAAAATTAAAGAAATAACATTTTCGAACTTAGTACATTCAAAACAACATGTTTTGGAAGAAGTATTGATGATGTATTGACTAATTATTTAAATTGTTAATTTTGAACAAAAATGGTTACAATAGTGTACCTTTAATATGATTAGAAAGAAATGACAGACATTTCAAGGAGAGACACTTTAGGCAAAACTATAGTTTTTTTTCAGGCACTGCTCAATTTTGAGACTTTGGGCTTTTTTTGCTTCCATAAATTTTCTTTCAGAACTATCTGCATATGTAGATATTGATTACAATGCATATCTTTAAATGCCGTTTTCTTAAAATGATTTTTCTTTTCTCCTTCACTGAGCCAGAAATCTCACTTTTATTCCTGTATACATTCATATATCATTTTCATGTATTGTAACATTTTATTCTAAAAAACATAGTACAAATTTTTTTCTGATTTATGGCGTGATTAAAAAGAGAAATCCCAAAAACCCCTCCGTTAAAAACTCTAATGGATCAACAAAATGAAAGAAGAATTTTGAACCTGCTCTCATGCAATGTTTACATTATTGTGTTGGACATTTATGCGAATGAGTGCATGTTAAAAAATAGAAAATGCTTGATTTGCATATGAAACATACCATTTCGGAATGTAATACAGAACATTTGTTTTACTGTGATCAATCAGTATGGTGAAATCCATTAGTTACTCTATTGACCTGAAGTGTCTTGCTATTTAATTTAGAGTTGCTAGTACACATGCTTTGGAGAAAAAAAAAACCTTTCAATGGGGTTCTATATAGAACTCTAGGGTTCTAGACTCAATTCTAAAGAACCCTTCATGCCAAAAGGTTCTATATAAGGAGAAATGTCTTAAATGATAGCATAATACTTTAATGTTTAACGACTTATTTAAACTTTTTCTGTATGTTAAGGAGCTGTTTAAATCCTAAAATTTCGAATGAATTCAAATTAAATTGATTTTAACTATAAATCCATAAAATGGTCCCATAATGGAACCTCTAAAAATGTCTAGATATGAAGCGCCCTTTACGGTTCTATACATGTAAGTTACTGGTTAGTGTATGATGGCTCTGTTTTGGCCTATAGTCTTGTTTCTCTGAGGCTAGTATGTGGAAGGAATGTGTGTGTCTCAATAAGTTCATGTTTACTGGTTTATGAGACTGAATTTTGTATTTTGTTTTATTTTTCAGAGTTGCTGAGTGAGCAGAAGTCAAATCGTGTGGAAAAGTGTGTCCCCTAAAAATGAATCTCGAGGACCTTTGTGGAGTGACTTCTTCTTCGTTTGACTGTCTCTGAAATGTGTTGTGATGGAAACTGGGTTTTTCTTCTGTTTTCTGTACAGGCTACTTTGCATTTCTGCCTGTGAATAGCAAGCTTCTTAAAGCAAAACACCAAAGAACATTAACATTTGAATATTGTATGTTCCTGCTCTTCTGAAATACCATCACGCCCTCTTGTGGACACACACACACACACACCGCTATGACGATCACAGGCTGATGGGAAATGTGCTCACACTGCAGAGTCACACATCTGTGTAATGAAATGCAGAATATAGATTTTTCTGTTGTTGGTAATGTTAAATAATAATAATAATAGGTGAATCTCAAAATCATTTTACTGTCCAGGAGACATTTCACCCCAGAATCAGAAGAGATTGGATAAATTATAGTTTTTCATAAAGAAAATTAAGCCTTTTTCTTTCTTTTTTTTTTAAGAACGTGTTTTTTTTTTTGCATGCTTTTGGAATGGTTTTTTTCTGCATTATCGTAATGAGAATTTAATTTAGATTTTGCTGTGAAATGTGACTTTGACAGGGTTTCGTGCGATTCACCCTATGGCTTTTGTAATATTAATAAAGAGCCAAATTTGATTAATGTCTGTTGTGGCATCATTTCTTCTGATACACCGTAACTCCAAACAAAAGTAAATGTTTCAAATATATTTTTCAAATTAATTTAATTTAGTTAAAGTCCCCCTGTGGTGAAAATCAAGTTTTTAATGTTGCTTGTATGTCTATGTGGTGTTTTTAATGTGCTTAAAGACAAACCATGTGCAAATTCATAAGTCGACAGCATTGCTGAGTATTTTCTCCTTAAAACTGCAGTGAACCAAAGACAGTCTCAAAAACACGGTTTGAAATCGCTGGTGTTTCTGACGTCACACACTACTGTTTAACCAATCAGATCAACGTGTGATCGTCAACCAGTGGATCTCTGATACTATTGGGCTGAGTGAGAGAGTGGAGGCGGGGCTCATTTGCATATTCATAGAACCGCGTATACTAAATGAGGCAAGGGTGTCGAGTTACATTCAAGCTATTTTAAGGCATGAAAAAGTTTAAATATGTAATTTTGGTGATCAAAGATGAGTTTTAAGGAATACAATTATTGACTACAGGGGGATTTTAAGCCCCTTTTGAGCTGAGACAAAGCCTTGGTGAATGATGAAGACTGCAGATAGCGCTGTGTGTGTGTGTGTGTGTGTGTGTGTGTGTGTGTGTGTGTGTGTGTGTGTGTGTGTGTGTGTGTGTGTGTGTGTGTGTGTGATTGTTGTTTATGCTGTTGTGTTTGTGTCGTAGGGTTCAGCAGGAGCAGCTGGCTGCCATCTTCAAACTGCTCCGAGAAAACCAGGACACATTCGGAGAGATGACGGAGGGAGACATGGAGGAACAGCTCAAACTTTACTCTCTTTAGTCTGACCACACACACACACACACACGCAGTTTCATATAGGACAGAATATGGGCTTGTCACACTGCACTTGCCCCTGAGTTAACATCTGTAGCACTCATGTCCTGTTAAAAATGACATACTTTTATGCTTAGGGTCACAGACACCCCAGCTGTGTCAAAGTAATAATGTGAGTGTGAAAAGTTCAGCTTGATCTCCTGACTTTATCCACACACGATCACTGTTTAAAACAAGACACAAGTAGGCTACTGTTCAGCTGATATGGTCGTGAGAGTTTTTTTTCCCCTCATATTTTATATTTTAGTGCATGAATGGGAAATGTAAATAGTCTGCATTAGCATTCTGGTTCTTCTTTTGGTGTTGATATAAATTAATGCTTCATATTCAAATCTATTATATAGAATGCAAATGGCATATAACTTGTTTGTTCATATTTACTTGAATATATATATATAATATATATATAAATAGCATTTGTTGTTGTTGTAATTTCCCTCAGTTACTGAGATTGTTCTCTTTTACACAGTATTGGGGAAAGTTACTTTTAAAGCAGTGCATTACAATATTGCGTCCTATACAAGTGTGAGAGACGCTCTGAGGGTTCGGTTCTGCACTAGTAGACAATGGTAGTGGGAGTTTCGGATAAACTGGAGAGAGAGAAATAGGTTTTGTTTTAGATTATTTCTGGATGTTTGAGGTATTAAAGGGATTTTCTCATAGGTGTGTGTGTTTTAATCAATCACTCGCAGGAACAAAAAACATGCAGCGGTCTGTATTGTGTAAGAAAACAAGTGTCTCTCTCGATGTATAGACTGTCCCCCTGATACTTGTTCAGGCATGTCTTGACTTGTCTAGGCTTGTTCAAGCATTAAAAATAATAATATATACATATACATGTATACCCCCAGGGGGACTCACTTAAAAAGTATCTAATTGTGTTACTTTTTATGGAAAGTAATGTGTTACGTTGGGCTGGGTTTGCTTTTTAATGTTAAAAAAAGTTATATTTTTGGCAAATGTAAAGCACATGTAAATGTACCGCAGGTTTACCTTATCTTTTTTAATTCCTTTTGAGGAATACTGAATCTGTTTTTGTGCAAGTGAGATGAGTAAATTCATTCTCACATTAATCTAGAACTACAATAACCATCATGTTTACAGTGTTAGCGCACGCCATTGCAACTGACTTAAAATGAACGCGTTACTTTACTCATTGCTTGAAAAAAGAAATCTGATTACGTTACTCGCGTTACATAATGCGTTACCCTCAACACTCTCATTCTGGATTAAGATGGTCGGTAAGATGTAACAAACTAAACATAGTAAATAAATGTACAACCAACAGTATTTGTTTTTATTGAAAATATGTTATTTACTGTAGACTATACGGGATTCATAATGCGAGTGTGAGACAAAGGAACATTCAAGAGTTCACACCTACAAATAATCAGTAAAAGAAAGTCCAAGGAGAGGTCTCCGAGCTAGGAATCTGATCCGACCCCAAAGTACTCCATTTTGTTTTTGTTTTTTTTTACAAATTTAGTGTTCATCAGAGGGGTCCAAGACCCTATGACTTTTGTCGCACTTGAACCACGAATACACAAACAAATTGAATGGATTCGAGGAGTTTTGTGGTTGAAATTTAAAAAAGTAACAAATCCTTCTCTCGCGGGTCAATTTGACCCCCTTAGGAATGAATGGAATGCGAGGAATGTTTCAGTACACATAGAAAAAAACTCAAAATGCTCAAAATTCAAACTAAAAATGCTAAAACTTTACCAAAAAATAGGTTTATAATGTCTACATGTGTATCTGAATGCATACTGAATGAACTGACCAGTGGAACAGCTTATTTGCTCCATATAGAGCTAAGGCCATTTAGTGGCTAGAGTCATGAAATATCATGTTATATTATTTTTTTCCCCACAAGACGTCGGCAAAGACACCCAATGTAAGATATTTTGAGCTGAATTAAAAGGGTTATGCATTAAATTGTGAGTTATTTGGAGTTATTCTAACCTAACCCTAAGTTGAAAGAATGTGAGGAATGTGCTTAAATTACTATTTATTGATCAAATCTAGTCATTTAAAGGTAAATATATATTATTATTTTTTAAATCTCCCAAGAAATTGCATTCACAATAGAAAAAAAACATTATCAAAATGAAGTATAATTTTCGGGCTAAGCCCTGGGGCCAGTTATCTTCAAGAGCCCCCGTCCCCCGTCACAGTTTCATAGTGAAATTAATATATTTAGAAAAGTTCTAACATAAAAGCTGGAGACAAAGTGGTGGAAAAAATATCAGAGGAAAAATAATAAGTCAATGCTTTTGCGTTCTCTCGCAAAATGTCCGCGTTCCCCTGTGAAACTTTCCATTCGGACACAAAAAGCATTGCCAAATAATGCAAGTGCAAGTGAAGAAATTAAGTCAAACATATTGTAATGTAAAGTCAACTAATATGGCTTGTGAAATATATTTTTTTAAATAGACATTTATTGTACAGTGCATTTGTTTTATTACTGTCTTCTGTTAATCTGGAAAGCATCTGCTGTGTAAAAACATCTGATAAACGTCTAAGAAAAGGCAGTTTGACATACAATCTTAAACATCTTAAAGACATCTTCTAAATGTCTATATGACATCTAACAGGAAACGTCCTAGATGTATTGCAGATGAGCAAACACTAAAAAATACATCTTGCAGATGTAAATGCAGACATCAAAGACATCTCCGAGATGTAGGCCTAGGCTACTTGTGCTATAGGGATATATCACAACTAAAAAGAGGTTTGAGTCCACTTCAAAGCCCAGGTACAAGTCAATACAAAGACTTTTCACTGTTCTATTTGAAAACTGGACATGGGTTGATGCTCTTAATTTGAACTCTCAAAGTGCACCAGATTGATGCATTTAACTTTAAAATATACAACATTGTCATGCCCCCAGACATTACTAGTATAGAGGAAAAAAAATCCTGTTTGAAACATGGGGCAAAATAATAAGAGGTTTGGGGGCCTTCATATAGGGCCAACAGTAACAGGAGTGCCAGCCATCCAAGAGCCTTGTTTATAGACCCATTTGTCAAGCATTAAAAAAAGGTTTTCATTGTTGATGGGTTTTCTAAACCAAACTGGATAACAGCCAGACTGTCGCATTAAATCATTATTAAAAGTAATGTAGTGTTTAGCGCTTTTGGTAAGAGACAAAAGCCCCCACTGTGCGGTTCGTCGGGAAACCCCCCACTTCTTGCAACGCCCAAATGTTTTGGCGGATGTTTTAAACATCTGTTGCGGGAGAAGAGCAGCACAACTCAACGCATTGTTACCTCGCCTGAACACACCGACTCATCGCTCTACTGCGACCTGCGTACATTACCATCGCTAAAATGGCGGCCAACCTCAACGGTATGTATATCGTTTATTTTTAAACATAAGTTAGACATAGGCTAGGCCAATTTATCTATGAAAAAAGTATAAGATTGACGTGCATGGCCTTCACAGGCAGTTTAACGTCAACATTCGAAATCGAATTGGAATTCGACATCAGTTCCCAACAGAATCCGCTGTTTTAATACACAATATTCCAAACAAGATGTTTTATTCTCATTCCCCAGTTGACGGAGCTCGTCTTCTAATCGGCGAAGACAGTGCAACTATTGGTAAGTTTTTTAGACCTAACGTTACACATTTGCTTTTCTCGTAGCTTGTGTGAAACATCCACTAGTCTCATTCTCCGTGTGTGGACGCTGTCTCACACAACTTTAGTTGTGAAACACAGTGAAAGGTGTGGGGATGGGAAACACGTGGTAAAGTATTGAGATGTTCTGTTGTTGTTCAAAAAAGAAGCGAAAACAGCGTTTGCTCAAGAAAAGTAGCTATCCAAACGAGGCAGCGAAAAGTAAACACTCTAATAAAACGCTTTAAAGTTAAACAGTGGTTTCAAGATGTTAAAGCAAAGGGAAGAAATTGAAAATAGCCTTGTTAAGCGTTGTACGCTCGCCCATCAAACAGATTAAGACGGTGAACAAACATTCTGTTTTTTCGACACCAATTTCATATTAAAGCACCAAGAGTTAAAAAAAAATTCCGACGGATAAAAATAAAGAATGATAAACCAAATCGAACTAAATGCCCATTCGTTACAATGATCGATTACAACTAACTTATATGTGGAAGAAATTATAAGCATGATACATTTTTGATGTCAACAATTCAATTTTCACTAGTTAAAATGCTAATTCTTGATATCAGGAATTAGATTTCTCCTTGTAAAAATGTATTTCTTTATATCACACGCTGACGTCGTCACTATAGCAGAAATATGAGTTCTTGATGTCAATAATTAAATTTCAACTAGCAAAAACGAATACTTGATATCTGTAATTTTCACTAGTGAAATATCATCATAAGCTGCAATTTAAATTCAGTTGTTGATATGAAGATTTTATTTCTTATTAGTTGAAATTTCAGAAACACAATGCTTAGAAAAAATACATATTTTTTTATATCTTGTAACTAGTAAAAATATAAATTCCTGAAAACAAGAATTAAATTTTCACTCTTTGAAATGCTAATTCTTAAAATCTAAATGTATTTCAACATGTTATATTTGTTATTTCTGATATCTGAAAATGTATTTCTGATATCAATAATTAGGAGATTAATTTCCGATATCTAAAATGGCTTTCAATCACATTGCAGATATCATAAATTAACATTGTCACTAGTAATAAAGTGATTGTTGAAATCAAAAATAAAGGTTTTTACTAGTAAGAATTGTATTTCTGATATGTGAAAATTGGAATTTCAACAAAGAAATCAATTCTTGATATCAACAACTGAATTTGATAGTGGGCTCATTTAACTAGTGAGAATTATAGTTTTGACTAGTTGACATTTAATTCTTGGTATCAAAAATTGCCATCGTTACTATAGTAGAAATGTAATTCCTGATATCAAGAATTCATTTCCTGGGAATGAATAAAAGTAAAAACGGCTTGCCATATGCTACAAGTAATGGCGTTTTGACAGTGTACACCTAAGGTCTACTGTGTGCCAACTGAGTGCCAAAGTGATGTTTTTAATATCTAAAACATAGATGAGAAATATCCAAATGGAGGGCCATCTAACACACACACGAGAAATAGATAGACCACTGTTTACGACATCATACAGGACCATTCACGCTGTGCTAGGAAACGAGGTGTCTGGTGAAGAATATCTGGCTCTTTGAAGTCAATGGTCCTTCAACACCTAATGCCTGGTCGCATGTGCTTTTATCTTGGTGGGGGTCTCGAGATCGGTGTGGGCGGGGGAAGAAGTAAAATGATGTAAACGTTTAATGTTACTCAAAAAAATGTTACTCACTCACTTGGGTGTATAGAAGAATGTGTCTGTGCTCAAACGTATGCAGTTTTGTATGTGAAGCCCTGTGACGCACAAAAAAATTGAATGCATCAAAGATATTCTTCTCTATAAGAATGTATAAAAATACACGAGATGTTGTTTTAACTTTTTAATCACTGCTTCGTGAAGCTTCTCAACATTAACAAATGATTTGTTCACATCAAACTGCCAAAGTCATGTGAATTCTGCTTTGTTACGTCATAAACGCTTTGGCATTTTAATGCCGCCAGGGGGCGATGATCCCTCGAACCAGTGCCTACAGAACAGGAGTGGTTAAAAAAAGGTTTAAAGGGGGCCGGATTATATGTCGTGGACACACCTGGGGGCCGGATACTTCTCCTTCAGGTGCTATTTATAAACGGACTGAATATTTTGTAAAGGAAAGTCTGGAATCTGAATATAGATTACTGAATTTTTAATTAGGAAATGTGTGATCCTTTTTTTTTTTTTTTTTTTTTTTTTAAATACCACCAATTCCTGCCACCAGAAATACAAGCTCTGAAAATGCAGTGCATTAAAATGCAAGCACTGCTAATTTAATGCTTTTTTTTCCATGTGCGATTTGTTTCAAAGACATTTCTTATTAACTTACTTCCAAATTTATTCATGTAATATATTAGCATTTCACATAATGATCGTGATTTAAATAAAAACAGTTCATTTAGATATTGCTGCATGAGGCTCATTTTAGGTTTCATGACAGCAATTTGGTGATAAGTAAGATGTGCATGAAAGATTAATCTTCTCTTTAAGAAGGGCAACACAACAGTGCTATACTAGCCTTAGTGTTTGTTTGTTTTTCTCCTGACAGTGATCAGCTACACAAGATCATCAAATTACATAATGATGATACTATTTTAGTGTTTAGGACATTTTGTAGGACAAAGGAGTCTTAGGACTCTATGCGGTTTGTCAGAGCGTGGACCCTGCTTCTTTAAACTGCTCAATGTTATTGATTTAAAGAATATTTTGCTGTTTTTTGACCAGCTTTTTAATGTGACTGTCGGTGGTATCTGTAAATGAACCATTTTTGACTTTTTTTTGTGTTACTTGCATCCAGAAATCCGTTTGTTAAGTCTGTGACGCCATTTTGCATAATCCGGTGGACTTTTGACGGCTCCAAGGCTTTTATGAACTTGCCTTTTTGTAATTCCCAGTCACGCAAAGTCGGATCGACGGAGAAAACCCTCTTTCTCTGTTTTCTCTAGTCATGTAGCACCGACTTCAAAATCACGTTTCTTCTGCATAGACAGCAAAGTTTATTAAAGGGTTAGTTCACCCCAAAATGAAAATTCTGTCAGTAATTACTCGCCCTCATGTTGTTCCAACCTGAGATTTCACGTAGTGAAACAGCGCAACGCTTCTGTGTTGTACGTCACACGCATCACACACACATGACCAGCGTCGCCCAATAGTGTGTCTACGTGTGACGTACAACACAGAAGCGTTGCGCTGTTTCACTACGTGAAATCTCAGGTTGGAACAACATGAGGGCGAGTAATTACTTACAGAATTTTCATTTTGGGGTGAACTAACCCTTTAATAAACTTTGCTGTCTATAAGTCGTTATTTTTGTTTGTTTTTTTGCGCACAAAAAGTATTCTCGTCGCTTGATAAACTTAAGATTGAGCCACTGTAGTCACTCGGACTATTTTAACGATGTCTTTCATAACTTTTCTGGGCCGGCCAGTTTCGATCCCTTAAGAAGCCTATGGAGGAGTGATCCAGCTCTCAGATTTAATCAAAAATATCTTAATTTGTGTTCCGAAGATGAACGAAAGTCTTACGGGGTTGGAACAACATGAGGGCGAGTAATTACTGACAGAGTTTTCATGTTGGGGTGAACTATCCCTTTAAAAACCAATCTTTGCCAGTGGTTAATTAGTTTTTTAAACATTGGAGAACAATTCATTGTTACCATTGCCTGAACAATGACTTGTCTTACTACCATGACCTGCAAATAAGCATCACTAAAATATCTGCCAATGTTAACGGTGTTTGAATCATTTGTTCGACAGCTCTCTGGAACAATTAGCTCCTTTCACACCGAAATCCCAGTAAATTACTGTAAATTTACCTGAATTGTTTTTCCGATACACAAATGTGCGTTTCACACATGCAACTGCCTTTCGTCTTTTTACCGGTAAGTTACCAATCGCACATCGGTACCAAAATACCGGTAAACTCTGTGATGTCTATCATTGGAAATGGCCTTTAAATGCTGCACTGTTTTCTTCATCCATCTGGATGAGAAGTGCTTTAGGCCCTGTTTACTCCTGGTTTTAAGATGCGTTTTGGTCGATCAGATCACAAGTTGGACGACGCTAAATACAGGTGTAAACGGGGTCTAAAATGTTTTGAGCTTGTCCACTTTTGACCACTTCCAGAGGTAGTCGAAAATGCGTTTGACCGGATTGCTTTCGTAGTGTAAACGCTCATGTGGTCGAATGTGTTCAAACAGCCACAAAAGACCGTCTTCTCTCCGCCTACTGACCTAATGCGTGAACATCATGGGGAGAGCACTAGCCAGACAGGATTAAAACTTTGTCAGCTGAAGACCCAAGTTTGGTTTGAAGATCCAATGGTATTTATGTCCTGTTCACGCATGATCTCGTAACCAGTAAAGACTGCATGTGTGAAAGGGGCTATTGGAAGAATTGTGTTCTTTGTTTTCTTTTAAGCCCTTTTTAATAGGCTACACAACATGCTAAACGAGGGTTGTTTCTGTTTTCAGAGGCTCGTCTTCTAACAGGCGTTGAAGAGGACACAACTCAAGGTAAGCTTGTTACGCCACCAGGCGTCCCAGGGTTGTGTGTAACTGAAAAAGCAGCCGTCCCGAATGACCTCATAACCGAGGTATCGCTACCTTTGAGTGGCGATAACAGCGGGTCCAAACCCTGTGACGGAGGTGTAGCTGTGACGCAACAGGATTCACCTCAGGCTACAACAGCCCCAAATCTTGATCCCGAGTCCAACGGGAAATCTGGGGAAAAGCGGGAGAGGGAATCGGACAACACCTCTGGGATTCCAGTCAAACGTCGTTTGAGACTATCGGAGGACACTGAGCAAGAGGGTGTGTATTAATAATCCAGCATCTAGCATCTGCAACGTGCATTTAGTTGTGTTTTGATTCAAATGTATATTTTATTGTTTCGCAGGTGTACACGATTACGATGCGAGATGCGCCGAGCTATGGATCGATGGAGAAATTGCCGCTTGCGAAGCTTATGAATTATCTCAAGCCAGCAGCAACGCCAGACGCCAATACTTGCTCAGAGACCCAAGACAAGCGAACAATGGCGTTCGACGCAATAACAATTCTTCGGCTCAGCCGGTCACCCAGCTGACGGTCGGCCCCCAAACCACCATAACCACCTGTTTTAAAGAGTTCATCAAGGTTTTTCGTCAGACCGAGGTGTTGCGGAGAGCGGATTTCGCAGAGTTGATCAATTTAGTTCGTGGAATGCAAAGGGATTTCAGAGTGTTGTCAAATGAAATCCATAATACTCGGGTGGAAATCCATAATATTCGGGTGGATCAAAGACAGATGTTAGATGCATTCTCACTTATGTTGGAAAGATTGAATGTCATTCAAATGTATGTGACAGACACACACAAAACAATGATGGGCAATAAATGATGTGTCCGTTTATACTGATTTGTGCTTGAGCCTGGTGTTTTTACTGGTTCTCAGTTTTATATTGTAATCACGAGTGATTTTTATGGCACCCACTCTTGTTCATAAGCTCATGCATGTGTGTGTTATGCATGTAGTTTTTAAATAAATCACTTCAAAATGGCTGCTGAAAGATGTCGTGTTGATTTACATGACTGCTAGACCGATGCTGAGCAGGGCACTGAACATATACCTTATTTCTGACCTGGTGACTCCCCTGACTGCCTCTGATTGGTTCATGCACTGGACTGGCTGCAACCTGATTGGTCCCCAAGTCTAAAGCCCATCCCTACACTATAGGTGGTTTTGTAATGTGATTTTTCAATTTATGAGTAAATTAAGTCTGTGGTAAACATAACTTGCCATGTTCTACACACACCCATGGCGAAAATGCGAATTTTGAAGCGGTTATGTTTATTTTGAAAACGTATGTTTCTAATAAGTAACTAGATAACACAGTTTGGGTTGTGAGAGTGTGTGTGTGTGCAGTGTAAGTTGTAGAACAAAACGTCAAAATATCGTCATGTTATATTCACCACAGACCTTATTTTTACTCATAAATTATTAAAAAAAACATTATAAAACCCCATTAGAAAATTGAAAAAGTGACGTGAAGGCATTATTAGGTGTGAAGCGTATCTTAAGTGGCCAAATACTGAGACACACATAATTAAAGATGCTCATCAAAAAAGTAATTAATTGACTACAGAAAAGTGTCAATTACAATTTAGGGAAATGACTATTTATATGTGCTGTGTGTATAGTACAGACATCTTGCTAGACTTGTTGCCCTGCAGAGTTTAGCTTCAACCTTCATAAAACACCTGATCCAGCTAATCAAGTCCTTCAGGTGTAATTGAGAGCTACGGTTGGCTGCATATCTTATCGACATGGCATCAAGCACTGCCGAAGGCTGTCACAATTTGAAGGATCCTTTGTCTGCATTTAACTCCACTTTTAGACTTTGTGTCGTATACTCTTTTAAGTAGGTACTTATTTTAATTAAGTAATTACTTCACGACCATTAAAAAAGTATGTTATATAGTATGAATGTGTGCAGTATGAATGTAATACAGATGTACTACATTCTCCATGTTGTCAGTATCATGTGACACTTCACTGCATTCATAAATCCTCTCCTGTGGCCTCATGGTATAGGCCCTGTCCCAAATGGCACACTCCGGACTTGTGGACTTCCTCAGAGTCCACACTTCGGTGACGTCATGCAGTGCAGACCTATAGGGCCCTTAGCGCGAGTCCGCATTGAGAGGTATTTTTGGGACAGACTCGATCGTCACCCCGGAAACAGGAAGACGGTCTGATTGTTGTTATAGACAGGAGCTACAGGTTCGGGGAAATATGCTGCCTATTGTTGTTGTGTTTACATATGACTCAGTAAAGCCCTGACATTCTGTTCTATTTATTTAATGAATCATAATGCGATCGTATTATTCAGCTCGCTATTATTCGCTTATGTTTGAGACATCAACCACTGGTCGATGATCATAATGTTTGTATAAACTTGTCATAAAAACCGTAATGATAATTACACTTAAATATTTTCTTCTCAGCCATGTTAACAATTGTCCGTGAGCGAAATCTCCTCCCATCCGTTGTCTGATTGGCCTTTCGCAAGGATTCCTGGGTAGTTAAAGCGCGTGGAGCCTGCATCTATGCGCGCTTCGCAGAAGACCGCTTCAAGGGTACAAAGGGGGCGCTGCTGAGCACACTTCAGAGCGTTAAAATGCTAAATGGGACGGCCTACGGACTCGTAGACTCGGCGAGCACGCGCAATTTAAGTCCACGAGACCGAAAGTCCGCATGAAGTGCGCCATTTGGGACAGGGCCATAGTAAAGTGTCCATTGTATGCATGTTAAGGGTAGATGTGACTGAGTCGTTGTGAGCAGTTGTAAGCACTCAGGAGAGGTTGGATGAGTTTGAACAGATGGGATCTTTTTATTTACCCCAATTAAGGCCAATGAAAGGGAATAAAAATAAACAATAAAAAAAAAGAAAAATCCCCCCAAAAAACACTATTTAGAAAATAAAGTAAATTGACATGAGAGTAAAAAAAAAAACAATCAAACTTTTAAAGCTGTTTGGAAATTGACCTTAACACAAGTCACTTATACGTAGAGCATCGACAGACTCATGTCCTCTCACTCCCTGCCCTCCTGAAAGAAATGAGGGTAACACTTTACTTGAAGGGGTGTGCATAAGACTGACATGACACCTTCATAACCATGACATGACATATGTCATGAATATGAAGTAGGGTTTATGCATGTTTATGACAACTGTCATTAAGTGTCATTCGCTCAATAATGACATTTTGAATGCAAATATGACATTGTTTAAGATGTCTTTGTTATGACATCTTGACATAAACCATAACATCATAACCTGTCAGTGTCTTTGTCATGACAACTTGACATTAAATTAAACTGTCATGTGGTTGGTTTTAACACTGGCTGTCATGAAGCCATTATAACTGTGTCATGAATATTTTTCGTGACCTCAACTACAGTGGTACACATTCAATTTGTCATTAAAAAGTTATAATGGCTTCATGACAGCCAATGTCAACACCAACCACCTGACAGTTTAATGTAATGTTAACCAAATAAAGCTAGGTGGTTTCTTAAGTTTGATAATGAATCTGCTAGGTCATGTTTATGACAGGTTGTGTTGTCTTGACAAAGAGACTGACAGGTTATGATGTATTTGTTTATGTCATGGTGTCATAACAAAGACATTTCAAACAATGTCATATTTGCATTAAAAATGTCATAACTGAGCGAATGACACTTAATGACAGTTGTCATAAACATGCATACAACTTCCTTCATATTCATAACATGTGTCATGTCATGATTATGAAGGTGTCATGTTAGTCTTATGCACACCCCTTCAAGTAAAGTGTTACCGAAATGAGATATAGGCTTTATAGCCCTAAAGGCACCCCTGCAATTGGCACATACCAACACACGATAACAATACAGGGGTGGCTCAGATGAAAAGGTCATAAATGCCTAAAAACAGCCGAAATGTTACCCTTGTAAAACTAGATAATTACAGAATATTATTTATATAGTTCCAGTTCACAATTGGCAAGCCACAAGTCATATTAACAGCTAAAAATTAACAACTCAAACTCCGGGTCACTTCCCATTGACCCGGAAGTCATAGCGTCATTTAATTCACACAATTGCGGCAAATCTTCCTTTACACAAACAAACCGGAGACGCCAGTAAGACACAAAGCTATGTTCCTCTTAAACTAAATAAACAGATACAGAATTAACAAAGACATGTGTTGCGTGGTTATTGTAACTGGTTAGAAATGTGAAGTAAATGACATGGTTTCTTTTCTTTCTTTTTTAAACAGCAAGATATGTATTGATAGTAGTAGCTATAGCATATAAATCACCATAGTATTAGATGTTAAAAGTGTGCACACAAAAGCTAGGGGATAACTATGGGGTTGAAAGGCTAGGCTAACCGCTGATTTGAAACAGTATGAGGATTAACAGAACACATTGACACGCTAGACAAACAAATACAGGCCACAATTGCACTCAGTCTTTGTGCACTAGAATGGGTATAGCGCATCGCTGCCGTGACGGTAGCAATGTGCCCCGTCACAATGCGCACTTCAGGATCACACCAGTAGGTGCTCATCCGAAAACTTTTTGCCTCTTTTATGAGCACTGTGAATTCAGACATACTTTTTTTTGTCACATACTGTTTTTCGCCTACTATATAGTAGGGAAGTATGCGATTTCGAATGCAGCCATAAACTTGTGAACTTCCCTAAGCACTTCCCCTCGGGTGAATCCCCGCCACCAATTCGAAGTTTGTTCAACTTCATCAAGTGGACGAGGGAAGAGACCCTCGACCCCGCGATTTTGACCAAGGGAGTGAGTCTACTCAACATGTACACTTCAGTCAGATCCATAGACCACAATGCACCATGATTGTGACGTCACAACAACAACTCGCAGTGGTTGCACTTAATTTACCCACAAGTGATCAAGGGTTTAGGGTGTTTCATTTAAACACACTGCAAGGGTTCCTCGCCTCCAGTAGTGGGCACTCGTGCAACATAAGCAATGACATACATCTAACTGAACGATATGGAGGGAAGTTAGCAAGTAAAACACTTTATTTGGATGGTCCACTTTAGACATACTACTAACAATAAGTAATTTTGCAAATTCATGTCAACTAACTCTCATTAGAGTATTAGTAGACTGACTGCTTAATATCTGCTAACACTCGCTTGAATACCTCTGAAGTAAACTAATGCTATACAGCATATGCAGTCAAAATAAGCCTTTGCAAAAGTAAAGAGTTTAGTGTCACGGCCGGTTGAAGTGAACAAGAGAGTAGGATCCATTTGCAGTATTTATTAAACATACAAACTCTAACTACAGAAACATGAACTCAGGAACAAGAAACACGGTCAGGACAGAACAACCAGCTCACAAACATTAAGCACTCACAAAGACTACACAAGACACACAGGCTTAAATAAGCTAACATGATAACGAGAGGGTGTGGTCAATGGGAAACACCTGGGAAGAGTATTAACACGCAGGGAACAATTAACCAAGAACATTACAAAACCACAAGACTAAACACATGACCACTAAACATGAACCCAAATACAGAAACACAGAACTAAACACGTGACAGAATCCCCCCTCTATGGAGCGGATACCAGACGCTCCACAAACATAAGTCCCGGGTGGTGGTGACACAGAGGGAGTCCATGAGGGAGGTGGGAGGGACAAGACAATGAAATAAACTCTGCCTGCAACCAGGGTGGGGCAGGCAATTCAGGAACAAACTCAGTGGCGCCCTCTACCACCTGTTCCGGGTCAAGTCTGAGAGTGACCTCCATGACGTGCTCCAAGACCGACTCTCGAGCAGCCTCTACGGCGTGCTCGGGAACAAACCCGCGAGCGACCTCCACGGTGTGCTCGAGAACAGACTCGGCCTCGCTCTCCGCAACGAATACAGGGACGGCCTCCTCCTCCGCGCTCCCAGGTACAGCTTCCTCCGCCGTGATCTCAAGAACAGCTTTCTCTGGCGCGATCACAGGGACAACCTCCTC